AGAACTAGAGGAAGGCTGTATATTTTATCGGTGCTATACTGCACGCTGACTGGCTGGTCTTTTCCTTCTGTAAGGGGATATCCAATTGTCTACAGATGGGCTTTGGGTCTTCACTCCGCCCTTCCCCTTAATTCACATCAATATGATTTAACAAAAATATTTTTTTTAAAGTCCAGTTTATATACATCAAAATGCATGTACCTTAGACTCTGCCAATTTACTTTTGGAACCTTCCAGTGTGGTCTGCTCAGAGCTGTCATTATTACCCAATTACACCCACCTTTGAAGCACATGGTTTCGCCCTCAGGATACAAGCTCCTGCTGTCCGCCTGGGCTTTCCAAGTGTACACGAGAAGTCAATATTCCATGGACTCCACTGCCACCCAGGTTTTCATAGGCACCAGTTTTGCCAAATTTTCTGGTATTTTAGCTACAATATTATGGTAAGAAGTATTTTTGAACCTATAGCAATAACTTTGGGGGGAGGTGTTTTTAAGCATAAAGTAAGAATTAAAGCTAAAAAAGGAGAAGAGGAAAAAAAACAAAGGCTTCCACTCAGTGACTAAGAAATATTACATTAAGCAATTTTCAACTCAGTCGCTCTCATATTATTCTCTAAGTAGCATTGATAATAAACTTTACTAAGGCTTCTCTGTAGGCTCTGGTTTGGAAGGAGGGCCGGGGAATGGTGACATGTGAGTTGGTGACACCCTGGTGAGGCCCTTGTTGGGCAGCCTTAGTGCCATCCCTCTGCCTGTGCCATGTCACATGGGATCCTGTGCTGGGGTCCGGCATCACCAGGTCTCTCAGTGGGCATGCAGCCGCCTCCCTGGGCTGGCCTGTTGACTGGCAAGCTGCACTTTATCACCACCTCCCAGGGGACCGGAAGGAGCAACAGGTCAAGATGATGTCTTTCCCTTGTGATCTTACTGAAGCGCTTGGGGAGCATGGGCTATTGAGTTGTCATCAAAGGCCAGTTGTGGCATCTGCTCATCAGCTAAGAAACCCTTTGCTCCTCCCTTTGCAGCTGGCCTACAAACTCAGGACCAGCCCTGTGTCCTGCCCCTGAGCCACTCCACCATCTCCAGGTATGTTGCTCTCCACTTCCTCATTCCAGGGGGCCAGGTGGCCTGGGCCTGGGCCCCACTTAAGCCCTCAGTCTGGTCCAACTCTGCTAGCCCCCTCCACCCCCCACCCCCACCTAAGTAGATGATTTTTATTTTTAATCCTGGTGAATCGCTTACTGGGGGCTCAGCAAAGCAGGGTCCATGAACTGACTCCCCTCTCTGCTGGTCAGGAGGTTCCTGGCTGCCCAGGGAGGTGGGGGGGCTCAACTCCACTGTCTGCCCCCTGGGAACACCCTCGGGGTTCTCCACGAGGCCGCCCTGGACACTCCAGGGGCAGGTTGTGCCACTGCCCCATTTTACACATGGGGAAGACCCAGCTTCCTCAACAAATGAGGCAGACACTCCTTGAAAGAGCCAGAAAGTCAGTTTGTTGCTTCCCACCCCCTGCTGGGAAGCCAGCCCAGCTAAACAGAAGCGAAGTTCCCAGAAAGGCTGGCCCAGGAGAAGTGGGTCCAGGGAGAAGAGGGGGGACAGCTCGCTAGAGCTGTATGTGGGCGCAATAAAGCTTCCTGGCTGGAGCCGCCTGCAACCTAAGGGCATCTCAGAGGGGCCCCTGGAAGCCCAGCTGCGGGCCTGTCAGTGAGCCAGGAGCAAGCAGTGACCTGGAGGCAGCCACCCGAAGTTCTACACACGGTGTCATGGATGTTTGTTGACCAGACAGTGGCTGTAGTGGACCCTGTCCCCTGGGATGGAGCAGGGGTGGAGAGCCAAGCAGCCGGGAGCCCCAGAGAGAGGATCACGAGGTCGAAACAGAAAGGCCTGGATGTGGGGAGAGCTCCCAACTCTCCCACAGGGAAAAATCAATACTGACAGTTGGGAGGAGGAGGAGTCTGTCGGCTCCTTCGCAGAGGGCTCCGAGATCGGGTCCCTCGGATGTAAGGTGAAGACAGGGGTGGGGCCGGAAGACCTCAACAGAGGTGTCTAGGAACCAGGGCTCCTGGGTTCCTCCCACCACTGGGCTTGGGCCCCTGGGCCCCCTCGGGGGCTGAGGCCCGATTACATAGCTGCTGAGGGCGGCCTCGTCCCTGCTCCCAGACCCCCACCCCCTTGCAGGGGACACCTGGCTCCTGACAAGGACCAGGGTCCACAGAAAGAGTCAGGCCAGGCTGGGGACCTCTGGGTGTCCCGGCAGGTACCCTCAGGGAAGGTAGAGGGCCACCACCACGTAGATGACCCAGCTCGTGGACACGAAGACCCCGAAGAGCAGGCTGAAGAGCACAAGCGAGCGGGCCTTCTTGGACGCCTCCTCGGCCTGGGCCAGGTCACCCCTGCTCAGCGCTGCGCGGGTCTGCGGAGAGACGGATAAACGGGGAGGGAGAGAGTGAGCCGGGGACCCTCTCCTTGCGTGACATCAGCCTTCTCCCCTGGGGAGCTCAGGCAACAAAGACGATGACCTCCCTGACCTCACGACCAGGTCAGCCTTGAGCAAAGGGCCCTGGAGGTCACCGGCTTCTGAGGATATTCTAATGTCATCACACTGTCACTCAAAAATGTCACCGCCATCGAGAACCACTGCACTGTAGGCTCACTCTGAGGCCCGATTACTAGCTGCTGTGGGCGGCCTCGTCCCTGCTCCCAGACCCCCACCCCCTTGCAGGGGGCACCTGGCTACTGACAAGGACCAGGGTCCACAAAAAGAGTCTGGCCAGGCTGGGGACCTCTGGGGGTCAGAGTGAGCCTATAGAGCAGTGGTTCTCAACCTTCCTCAGGCCGCAACCCTTTCACACAGTTCCTCATGGGGTGGTGACCCCCAACCATAACATTATTTTCGTTGCTACTTCATCACTGTCATTTTGCTACTGTGATGAAGTGTCATGTAAATATCGGATATGCAGGGTGTATTTTCATGGTTACAAATGGAACATCATTAAAGCACAGTGATGAATCACAAAAACAATATGTAATTCTATATTGTGAAAGATTTATTTCTAATGACAAATAAATGAAATGTTGTCTTGAAGCATGGTGTGGCATGGGTAACAGTCTTCACGCCAGGTACTTGTCTGTGAGCGTATCTGCATGTGGGTAGACTCGCCTGGAGACTGATAGAGGAGCGGTGGCTCAGTGCCTAAGACCTTTGGAAATATGTGTTTTCCGACGGACTTGGGCTACCCCTGTGAAAGGGTCATTCTGCGCTCAAAGGGGTCACGACCCACAGGTTGAGAACCGCTGCTACAGGGCAAGGTAAAATTGCCCCTGTCTGTTTCTGAAACTGTAACTCTGTGTTTTGTTTTGTTTTGTTTTGTGTCCAGCAGAAAACCGTTTTATTAGATGGTATTCCTCCCCTCAAATTAGCTGAAATATCTCCCCAATCTTTTATTACCACTAATGTAAGAATATTTATATTGGCATTAAAGACAACCACATCAAATTAAATTTTAGACTGCATCTTTGAGTGACTGCACCTTGAATGGGCAGAACTGATGAGGACATGTCATATGTCATTTTAAATTTAATAATATCAGGACTAGCAAGATTAGGAAAACAGAATTTCCATGGGCCATTTGTTCAGGCTTGAGAATAACATTATTAGAGATAATCATATTTTATAATTATAGCCATTGCAGCAGTGGTATATCTATTTTAGCAGACTTTGAGTATGGAGGATATGTGACTGCAGTGGTCACAGTACCACCGATAGCTTGTCTCTGTGTCTGTTTATATTTCTTTTTTTTGAAACTCTAACTCTTTACAGGAGTAGAAAGCCTCATCTGTCTCCTGCACAGTGGCTGTTGGTTTTGAACTGCCGACCTTGCAGCGAGAAGTCCAACCTGTACTCCACCACGCACCAGGGCTCCTGCCATCACATTAGCACCACTGAATCCCCAGGACCTGACCCCATCCATGCCTGGCAATAACGGGAGGAAAGGACGGTGGGTGGATGGATGGAAGGATTCATGGATGGAGACTGGAGAGATCATGGGTGAGTGAATGGATCGGTGGGAGATGAACAGATTCGGAAATGTGCACAGGTGAGCAGGAGCTAGGTGTGTGGGAGAGTAGACAGATCAGTGCTAGATAAATAGATATAAGGAAGTAGAATGGATGAAGAGTTGAGCTGATGGATAGAGGGGCAAAATTTTATCTGTTAAAACACAAGCTTCAACAACAAAAAGACGATCCCATTTTAAAATGGCTAAGAAGACAGACAGCCAATAAATACATGAAGAGTCGCTTGTGATCTTTAGCCACTGACTAGAAAAAACCGTGGGCTCATCAAATTGATTCTGACTCATCCCACCCCCCAGGGCAGAGCCCAGTAGCTCGATGGGGTTGTGACAGCCTCATCTTGCTCCTCCCGAGCGGCTGGTGGGTTTAAACTGCCGACCTCGTGGTGGACAGCCCAATGTCTAGCCCACTAGATCACCAGGTCCTGCCGCACAGACTTCTTTAAGGTGGGGAGAAGCAAGGACGGAGGTGCACCTCACCCAAGCCGTGGTGTTTTCAATGGCCTCACATGCACGTGAAAGTCGGACACTGAATAAAGAAGATCAAAGGGAAGCCGGTGCCTTTGAGTCACGGTGCTGGTGAAGAACACTGAAAATACCGCCAACTGCCAAAAGAACAAACAAATCCGTCTTGAATGAAGTAAAGCCAGAATGGGCCTGAGAGGGAAAGATGATGAGATTTCGTCTCATGCACCTTGGACGGGTGGTCAGGAGAGCCCAGTCCCCGGATGCTTCTAAAGTCAAGGACAGCGAACACCAGGAAGGCCCGCAACAAGATGGACCAGCCGGAGGGCTGCCCCATGGGCTAAACAATTGAGAGGACGGCTGAGGACCGGGCAGCCTTTCCATCCTGGCGTACACGGTCCGAACGGGCTTGAGGGCAATTGACAACAACACGCACTGCAGCACACAGGGCAAAGGCATGTGAAGGTCTTCACCGTGACCTTCACCAAACACCTTGAGGAAAGGAGTCCCTCGGCTTGACAGCTTAGGGCCGTAGGTTTGGGGGACTTGCAGGTCCTCAAACACAATGCTCTCCATCCTCCTTTGGGGAGACGTGGCTGGGCTCTCAAAAGGTCGAAAGCAGCCAAGAGGCAGCTGTCGGTGTCTCCTAGAGCCAAGAGCCAACCAAAAACCCCAGGAAGCAATCCGTCCAGAGGTGCCCCTGCCACCGGCACTAGCCTGGGCCAGAACTCGCTGTGCCCAGCTACCATGGCCAACCCCTTGATGGGAATCACGCTAGACGACCCTAGACAGAACGGGCGGAGATGCAGAGCGAAATTCAAAATCATGGAAAAAGACCAGGCTTACTGGTCTGCTAGAGACGGGTGGACCCAGCGGTGAGGGCGCCTGGACTCCCGTCAAACGTCAAACTGACCCCACTGGTGGAAAGCCCTTTTCCGCCCAGCCACACCCCCACCCATGCGATGAGTAGGAAGCCCACACAAAGCAGCAACCTTAGGAAACTAGAAGGGTTAGGTTTGCCCCCAAACCAAGTTCAGGGACAGGAAGAACAGAAATGATGGGTAAATGGGAACGGGAGCCCGGGTGGGGGGCTGCTGGATGTGGAGATTAGAACTAATGTCTCGATTAAAAGTGTGTATAGATTGCTGGAACGAATTCTGCCAACACACGCACACACACATGCATGCACACAAGCCCCTGTGGAGTGAGCCCATAACAGACATTCACACCCTCACTGTGAAGAGTCTCGGGAGAGCTTTCCAGAGAAAGGAGGTGCCCACACAAGAGGGGCCGGGACCCACAGACAGCGACCCACTGAGGTCCCCGCTCCTACCCCTCCTGAGGAAGGGACACCAGAGACCCATTGCTAGTTGGGGAGCTCTGTGGGTGGGGCTGTCAGAAGGGCCGGCCCCCGCCCCCACCTACCTCGTGGGAGTAGACAATGGCGATGAGGCCAGTAAGCAGGCAGCAGAAGAGGGTCACCAGCACTGATTCCATCAGATAGTCCTTGGGCAGCGGCCTGTGCTCCACCGTGGGGGGGGCTGGCATCTGATTGTTGTACTGGGGAGCCGGAAGCCATGACACCGTGAGGGAGCTGGCCCAAGTCTCCCCACACACTGCCCAAGGGGGACGCGGGTACAGCCCGTGAAGGACATGGCTGTCTAGGGCACTGGGGGCCACACCACCCCCTCCTCCACTCCCCATCAGCATGGCCCTCCTCCACCCACAGCCACTCGGGCCCTGCATCCCTGGTTCTGCGTCCCCTGCAAGCTGCTCGATCATCCTCATTGGGCTTCTGCTGGGGACCCCCATCGTTGGTCTCATCAGGGGCCCCTGGTCCCTCACCATGGATGCCGCTTTCCCCACCCCGCCCTGACAAGCTGACCACCCACCCCTCTCAGAACACACACTCAGCGGCTCTGGGCTGGGCTCTGTTCCCTTCCTGGCCTGCAGTCTCCTATGCATCCGGCAGGACCCAGCTCCAATGCCCCACACCTCTGGGAGGCCTCCAGGCAGAGGGAGCCTGTTCTTCCGGGCACAGAAGGCTCTCTGCATGGGTAGCAGGAACCTCTTGTGTGTGTCAGTCAGCCACCCAACCTGACAGCCGCTGTGTGTCTAGGGCTGGCCCAGGCCCAGCTACTGGAACAGATGGGGACGGGAGGGGAGGGAGGGGACCCCTGGACCACTCACCATAGGAAAGGGGAAGGCACCTGCTCCGCCAGTGGGGGCTGAGAAGAGGGGCATCGGTGAGGGAGGCGCCGCAGAGTAGAGGGGTGTGCCCACAGCAGGGGGTGGGTACAGGGCCTGGGGCGAGGGCCCTGGCTGGAACAGCACAGGCACCTGGGGGAAGGGTGGGTAGAGCAGATGCACTGCTTTGGGGTCAGGCGGAGCATAAGGTGGGGGCTCGCCCACAAAGCCAATGTTGGGGACCCCGCCGGGTGCCAGCTTGGGCTCCTGCCTGGCCTCGCCCGTGGCCTGGGAGCAGGCAGAGGCGCCCGCCTGGGGTGGGGTCACTGCCGAGGCCTCCATTGCAGGGTCCGCCAGCGCACCCTCCCGGGCCTGCTCCCCAGCAGAGTGCCCAGGGCCACTGCTCCCCTCCGCAGGCTCCACGGCCCCTTCTTCACCGGCCTCTCCGGCCTCATCCAGGAGCTGTGGCCGGCGAGGGAGCTTCGGGAACTCTGGGTGCTCAGTGCGCTGGGAGTCCTCGGAGTCTGGGGGGGTGGCACCTCCTCTCACATTCCGATCTGTACAGAAACACCAGGAACCATGAACCTCAAGAGGAAGCTGGGCCCCGGAACTCCTCCCCACAGACCCCCCAAAACATAGACTGAAGGATAAGTCCCAGTGACTCCCCTGAGCTTGACCGAGACCTTAGACCAAGTGCTCACTGGCTCCCATAGCTCCAACCTCAGAGCCGCCTTCAGACACTGAGCAGAAAGCGGGGGCCTGCCACAGGTCAGTCAGTGGTCGGGCTGAAGGAGAGCCCAGGTTGTGGCCACTGCCCTGCCCAGCATTTGGTCCAGATTGCCTGTGCTGGGGCAGTGCCCACCCCAGGGCTGGGCAGGGAGAGAGCCTCTGTTAGGCTGACCTAGAGGTGGTTCCATGGGATGTTGGTCTGAGAAAAGCCGGGCCTCTCAGACTCTTGCTTGGACACTTGGGCTCAAGGTTGTGGAGGAGGAATGGTGTGTTCAGGCCTACCAGACTGTCGCTAATGGAAGAGCCAGGAGGTCCCCCACACTTAGAAAGAACCGAATCCTGAAAGCAGAATTAGGGGCACAGAAGAGGAGTGGCCAATGGCTGGAGAGACACTAGGCCGGCAGTCTGAGCCGGGGCTCAGAGGCACCTCAGTTGGCCCGTTGCCTCCCAGCTCTGCCCCTGGCTGATATAAAGTCTGGAGACACCTGAATAGGTCTCCACACACCCTGGGAGCCGCCTGACTGACTGAGCACCACCAGGTGCCAGGCAGGTGCCCAGGGGAGGCTCTAGAGTACTGGGTTCCAGTCCGCCTCCTAGTTTGCAGTGTAGTCTGGGGTCTTAAAGTTTGCAAGTGGCCACTCACGGCACAACAATTGGTCTCTGTCCTTCCAGAGCACAGAGGAAAGAGGATCAGAAACAGGAGGAGGATGTGGAAGGTGCGGCTGATCACCTTCATCAACAACTGTGTCCTTTGCCAGGAGGACCAGAACAAGAGGGTGGCTGGCTGAACATTCTGATCAGAGAGTCTATAGAAGAGCCCTCATCAAAAGGGGGGAAATTCAGAACAGGATTTCAAATTCTCACGGACTCTAGACTTCCTGGGGCCATGGAGGTCAGAGGCATGACAAAGCGACTGCCCTAAAATAACCTTTAAAATCTAAACCAAAAATACCCCCTGAAGTGTTCTTCACAAGGAGCATTCGTTCGGCTTACTCGGTAGAAAGGCCTGGCCTGGCAGCATGCTCCTTAAGGTCTATCTAGATGGTCCAACTACAACGGCAGCTCCAGAGATGAGACAAGCACCTTAGGGGCTGTGGGAGCAACTTTTCAGACAGTGATTGGTAGAGCAATTCGATTCGGAGCTGTGTCCATCAGTTCCCTTCCTTAAGAAGTCCTATCGTTGTGAGTATCGTCTGTGAGTTCGGTGAGGTCACAAAGAGTGAATAACTGAGTCCAGCATAGCAGCAGAGTGCTGTGGGAGGAAGCGTCCGTGTCAGAAGAGGAAAAAGAGATGGAGTGTGGAGAAGAGATGGAGTGTTGAAAAGAGATGGAGTGTGGAGGCCTGTCTGACCCAGGGCTCGTGGCCTTCGGGGTGCCAGGGGAGTTCTGTGATGACCTCGTATGCTGCTTACTGCAGAATTAAACAACACATGTTTGAATAATTTATGGTTCAAAATGAAATCACAATGTAAACTAAAGGGGAAAAGTTTACCTGAACAGCAATGTAAACCAACACATCAAAATTGGTGAGGTGCAGCTAAAGCTGCGTCTAGAGAGAGATACATAGCTTTAAATATTTACACTGAAAAAGGAAAGTTTAAATCCGTAACCTAAGGCTCTACTCTAAAGACTCGAGAAAAGAGCAAAGTAACCCAAAATAACAAGAATGAGGAAAATGGTAACGGTAAGACCAAAAAAATATATGAAATAGACGATAGAGAAAATGAACAAGGCCAAAGATGCTTCTTTGAAACGATTTACAAAGTTGACAAACTTCCAGCTAAACTTATCAGGGAAAAAAAGAAAACATAAATCACCATTAGGAATGGAAAAAAAGGGTTAGCACAGCCCCTGCAGACACGAACATAAGAGAATACATGAAAAATTTTATGCCACCACATTTGACAAAAGTAGACGAAACAAGGATCTACATGTGACCTCCTCCCTGGGGGAAGGACAACAGAAAAGTGGGTGAAGGGAGA